GTCTGTTTTAATCTGTTTCTTTTCCATCATCCAATCCAAGAATGCCACCTCTCTCCCTGTGAAACTCCCCTGTATGTATGGCTTTTCTCTTAGTAGGAAACTTAATGATTGGATCCCAAGTCATGCTACTTGTACAAAGTTAGATTACAAAATTGGTTTACAAAATGCGCGTTGACAACATCTTCACCAATTATTAAAAAAACAGTTTTTGAAATCAATGACCTAAATCTTGCCACATCATTTTGTCAACACACTTTTGTAAACCACCTTTGTACAAGTTGCATCATTTTGTGCACATTGTGTCAAGTATTTTGTCAACACACTATTAACTGTCATTAGTATATATAATGATTAAATCGTAAAGCTTGAAAATTTCTTAAGAGAAGACATAATAAATTTGAAAGCATATATATATATATATATATAGTACCAAGGGCTTGACGGAGGGCGTTGAGGTCGCCGGACTCAGCGGCAGCGACTAAGGGGCGAAAGTGGGGAGGGATATCGGAATGATCGATATCATCCTCTTCCGCGAACTCGACACCTTCTTCCTCGAAAAGAGCTGCGTCCTCCTCATCGCCACCGAGAACTCCATTCCGTCGACCGCCCGGCACCGCCATCTCTTTCTATTATTTCTCTCTGACACCGGCCGCCGAAAAATATAGTTATAGGCAAAACCCTACGATTTGTGAATTTTTTTTTCTTCCATTTTTAACCATATATTTGCACAAAAAATATTTTGTAAGTAAGCTTAAAATTTTTCACTACTTTTTAATCACTCATTTTCTAAAAAAAATCATTTTTTACCTCGCCTTTTGCAAAGCTGATGTGGACAACAGATGTCAAGCACATTCTGGCCAAGTTTTAACACGCTTTGATCGGAAACTTGGTCGGATGGGGTTTCTATATAAGAGCAAGGGAAATGCTATAACACGCTAGACGAAAATGTTTAGATATCGACAACATATTCTATATGTGATTGCATATTAATCATCAATTATAAACAATTCAATCAAAGATGGATGATCTAAAATCAAGCAAACGAGATTGTGAAGTAAGCTAGAGGATGTTGAAAGTGGTTTTTTTAAGTGTAAAGAGTTGCATTAGATTCAAATGTTACAATAGTTGTTATTTATAAAGTTCTGGTCGAAATGGTAACCGTTGGATAAGAATCATGTTGCCTCATTTTCCAGGTCGAAGCATTACATTGCTAGCCTGCTAAACATTTAATACATTGACAATGGGTTAGTCACCTTACATCCTAGGCTGAAGACTTGACACTCAGGATGTGTTTGAACCACATTATTTTGAAATGATGTATATTGAAATAGTAGATTGATGGAGAATGTGAGGTTGAAAAAGAAGAAAAAGTTATTAATGTGATGAAAAATATTATTTTATTGAAAAATGTGTGGTTGAAAATGAGTAAAAGAATGAGAATAAAATTTTAATGTGACTCAAACAGGGGCTCATTATTACAAACGTCATATCAATTATTCATAAAGATTGCCTACAAATCCTCTGAGAGCCAGCGAGAATTTCGGCCAAATAAAGTTTCAAAATAGAGGGCTTCGACATAGAGAGCTTCACAGTCTTTTTTTTTACTCCCCCCTTCTTTCCTTGCCAATCCGACCAATCGGGGTCTTAATTGACTTTGTCAACTTGATTTATGTCTCTACATGGATTACCATGTAAGCTTAGTTTGAAGATTCGGTGACGACCGTAACAATTACTATTCAAAATTTCATTTTTTTAAACAATGACCATCAAGTAGGGCTGAATAATATAAAGAAATTAATATAGTCAAAATTTATTTATTTTTCATTATAACAATGACAATGACATTATAATTAAAGTTTTAATGAGAGTTACAATTGAAAAAAATAAATCCTTCTGTAATAACTATCTCATTGTCTCTGTAAAAACCTAGTTCGACAGAAATTCAATGACAATGAAAGTATCAAATAAAGGAAAAAAGAGTACGATCAATTATAAATGAAGTAATAAATGTTACCTCATTGGTAACATTAAGTCTTCGTCAAGAAAATCTAACAAGACAAAACTTGAGAGAAGGAAAAATATTACATATACTCCATCTGATTTCAATTAATGAAAATTCTTGTATCGAGTCATTTATGTTTTGTATGTCAATGTCTTCAATATTACAATTCTGATGAAATATGTTTCATGTTGCTTTGTTATAGACTTCAAACAATGTTATTTTCATATAAATATTTATAATTTTTTTGTGAGTGCGGTAATATGATAATCTAGTAAGTAGTAAGAAACAAAATTTTGTTGTCGTTCTTTCAAGAATATCGTACACAATTTGTAACATGTAAGAGTATTATTTTAAAAGTAAATATATTTTATATTATGAACATTCATAACACAATGAATATATCTCGTTAAAATCTTACTAGAAAAAATCATATGGTAAAAATCTCAATCAAGAAAAGATAGTACATTAATCATTTGAATACCCTATAAAAGTTGTCTTATTAAAAATCTTTCACGAAAACCTAATACGATAAAATCTTGGTCAATGAGAAGAGAGTACAACATGTATATAATCTCCATCGTTATAATGTCACTTGAACTATTGTTGCTATCATTTGTAAGGTGAAACACTACATTATGTACAAAAATATTATCGATATTTTTTTCTTTTTATTTATATTTCTTTTCCCATAACTATATAACCGATCGAAATATCTCAATTTTAAATAATCTAGGTACTTGAACATCTTCAAAGTTTTACAATACTCAGTATATGCCTCAGAGATTATTTTGCTGTTGCTCAATTTTATTTTATTTTTAAAAGATTTTTGTTGTTAAAGTGTACCTCACTTTTTAACCATTGACCAAAACAGATGAAAACGTGTTTTGGGACTTTGCAAGATATTTCATCTCAATCGGATGGAGGGCTTTTGGTTTCTCTTATAAAAGGGAGTAATCGTTAGTTGACACTTGTGTGCACAAGTTTGGCTTTTCTCTCTTTTTTTCTCAAAGTTTTTCTTTTGGTTCTTCTCTTTAAATCTTTAGTAGGTTTTGTTATGTATACTCAGTGAAGATATATAGATGATCTTCTGTTTACTATGGTGAACACTGTTTGTAAATTTTGTGATTTCTTCATACATTTTGTATTGAACATTATTGATTCGATTTCATATATCAGGGTCTAACTATTTTTTAAATGCTCAATAAGTGAGTAACGTTTAAAAGAACATGTGGGAGAATAGACAAGTCCAGCATTTTGCCTAGAGAGAGGGGTACACAGTCACGATGGCTATAAATGTCTACTCGATAATAAAGTGCGCGAAAATTCTAGTAATTCAATGGAAAAAGGTTTGAAACATGAAATGTTCTGCCGAGGTCCTGATTTCCATTTGATGAATGTTCTACAATGCCTTACCTATCGTTGCAATTGTTTTCTCACTTTTTATTCAAGATGATACTCATCAATGAAAGAATGCGTTGCGTCGTTAAAAAATTACTAAAATTAAATTTCGTAATAAGCATACATATCATCCTTTTAATAAATCGACGGCCTCGTTATGCAAGACTATAGTAAAATAATGTTGATATTATATTTGATCGAATATTAAACAAGTGACAATTACATATCTTTTTTTAAAAAAAAAATCAAGTTTAATCATATTCAACCTAATCTATCAATACCCAATTTAAACTTAAATATCCCCACAACACGAACCATGTGCTTGATCAACAAACCATGACTTCCAAGAGTTGTCAAATAGCATTGTGGATAAGTTCAAATCGAACTGCAACCTAAATGTCAACAAAATAAATGTCAAAATTTCGTTTAATAATTAATTAAAAAATATGACAGTCATGTTACAGTTAAGGTTTTCTAATTTAATAATGATGAGTGATGAATATATTTGTCAAAATTAATTTTATTCACGTCTCATAGAGACAAAATATTAAGGCTCTGTTTGTTGTAGATTAAAATCGGATTTTTAGTAAATTTTGATAAAAGTTGATGGAATGTGTGGTTGAAAAGTTGTGGGTCCCACAAAATGTGTGGTTAAAATTAATTGTTGACTTTGATTGAAGATTAAAATCATATTTTAATTTGTACGAAACAGGTGCTTAATTTATTCGAAGCCACAGTGGTTAATTTTTATTCACTATTTCTATTGAGAAAATTATTATATATATATATATATATATAATATTAGTCAAAACTCAAAATCATTATATAGACTTTATACCAACCACGAATTAGACATCAACAAACGAAACTACCAATTTTAATGAAATCACACGCCAAACAATCAATTCAGACAAAGACATGTTACTGTTACACTACCATTTGGCTACTAAGTTAAAATTTCTTTTTAGAAATATAATTTATTTTCCGAAAACGTAAATTTTGTTTACTTGAGATCAAAACTTAGTTCAAGTGGTAAGAACGAAACTTTAAGATCTTGCTATAATCAATTTAGGCCTTGTTTGGTGCACGTCAAGCTCAATAAAGAAAGAAATAAAAATTGACTTATTTTTCTAATTTTTTTTGGACGCTAAGCATGTTACCTTGACACCACAAAAGAAGGGGCAGTTATACCTGGCTTGTACAGTTGCACAATATTCATTAATTTTCTGTCATTTAATGGAACGAAAACACATATTTTGCAGCTTTATTTTGCTTTCTTGTGATGAACCAAACGAGCCTTATTTTCATTGCTCATTGTCTTTCTTTTTTTGCAACTTGGATGGTATTTTCGTTGGTGATCATTGACAGAGTCGACTCCATCAAGATGTTATGTTTTTGGTGGTATTACCCAGAGAGCCAGAGAGAAAAACGGTGAAATGCTTAAAGATTTAAACTAAATAATCGAAGAAGATCAGCAGTAAAAAAATTAAACAAATTTATTAATGAATTATGAATACAGAATAATTATATCTACTTAATTTGAATAAATTGTTAATAATTCACATTTTTGTAAATTCACAATAGAATACGAATAAATTAACTAGTAATGGCAATCAACCAAAGGAGAGGCTGAGAAGACGATAATTTCGTTGGATGCAAAAGAAAACTTGGTTTCTCGAAGATCATCATCTTCTGGTTCTGGGGCAGGAAGATTAAGATCTAATGACAACAGATTTCTTGGTTTCTTTGCTTCTTTAGACTCTTCATGGCTACTATCAGGTGCCACCGTAGCCAACGGCGGCGCCCTGTGCCGCCGCATATGACCACCTAAGGCTTGGCCGGAGTTGAATTCAGCTCCACATATTGTACACAGATGAATCCTAGATTTGTTTTGTGGGTTGCAGCCTGAATTTTTGCTTGAGATTTGAAGTGAAAGAATTGTACTGTGATCATAATTGAATCGAACATTCTGTGGATTTTGTTGTAGGGTTGTTGGCTTAGGTTTCTTGTGACTTGCCCTGTGTCCACCAAGAGCTTGGAATGAAGGGAAACACCGGTTACAAGTCTTGCACTGGTAAACCTCTACAGCCGCCGCAACTGCTGCCGTCTTATTGGAGGCGGAAGCCGCCGATGCTGGCGGTTCTGATGGTTTTCTGGTGTGGCCTTTGGCCAAAAGAATTAAACAATTGGCCATATCTTCTTCTTCATCAGTATGTTCATCTGAATTAGGCGGTGAGGCGGCAAAACGATCAAAGCTACATGAAATATCACTTGCACCGCCAAAACCACCGTCACTGGCGGCGGTGCTGCATGAGCTGGTGGTGGCCATGGTTAATGCAAGTGGTGATGACGGCCTTGACCGCTTGTTTCGCTTTCCTTTGATCTTATGGCGATCATCCTTAGCCTCCATAACTTGTTCTTGAGCTTGCATAATAGTAGATAGATAAAGAGAGAGGTGGTGGAGAAAAAAATGTTATAGGGTTGGACTTGCTTTATATAAGAAGATCGGCTATTTTATAATATTGAATAGTATCCAAAAAGAAGTTAAATCCTTCTTTAGTATGCCATGTAAAATTGAGTACCAAGAAAATGCGTTGTCGAGAGGTGAAAAGTTAGTATAGCTCTCGTGGGATGGTACTTGAAAGTGTGTTGTTTATAACAAGTTACGATATACATACACAGTGTTATGCGTGTATATGTAGAGAGAGAAAGAGGGGAGAGTGTGTGTGAGAAATATGAAGGGGTGAGAAAACGAGTGAGATTCGGTTGGCATTGAAGCAACCCCATTACTTTTTGGCAACGATTGATTCCTTGTGGAAGATTAGAGTGCAAGCCTGGCACCGCACATTTTGCGCTTCACCACCCCCACTACTCCTCTATTCCTTATTTTTATCTTTTCTTTTATTTAAATATTAAATTAAATAATTGATAAGTACATAATACTCTCTATACAATGAACAAATCTTAGGGACGAGAATTCTGTATAAAAATCTCAATTTCATTAAGAGTTCGAAACAAGGGACCATGACATCGGGCTGCCACGTCCCGATGCCCTTTCTTTCTTTTTTCGAGTAATTACTAGCGGCAACAAGAACCCTGAATTAGAGATTTTATTGTTTTCCGCGCTTTGCCTTTAGAAAGTAATTGAGAAAACAAAAAAGAAAATAAATTAAAACATTTTTTTTAAATTTATGAAATGGGCAAGTTTTCTTGGCTATTCCATATGATATATTATTATGTTTTTGCTAGATTTTCAGGTGTGAATCATTTGATTAGTAATTTAGTCCATCTTTAGCCTCAATTTTCTAAATTTGTTTTTTCTCACTCATTTTAAAGCATATCTATCACTTTTTCAACTGTTCAAGTGCACATATCATCAATTTTTATCAAAATCGACTAAAAATCTGATTTTAATTAAATCAAACAGGCACTTAGTATTGGCTAATGATTTTGGTTAATATAGCTTTAGTGCTTTATTATTTTTGATAGGTACTTGAATGAATCACTCAACACTATTGCACAACAAATAAGTTCTTTAAGACAAAACGTCATCGGGGAAATCTCAATTTTAATTAAGAGGTGGAAACAATTACTTGTGGAATACGTTGCCAGTTATCACGTCCATAAGGACCACTTCTTTCTTTTTCCTCGAATAAAAAGGTGCAAATTAAAACATAATTTCCCGTAAGTTTAGATGTCAAAATTAAGCAATTCCATGTGCAGTTGACCCACCTACATTGTACTCTACTATATTGATTAATGGGATTATGGCCCCATCAATTACGCGCGTCCAATAATTAAAAATAGGAAGAATTGAAGTCAATCTATCAAACTTTTCGTTTAGTAGCAGATTTAATCCAAACCTTTCATTTATGCCACCGTAAATACCAGACCAAAACTTGGCTATATTCTAGATGAAAGATTAGGTATCTTGGCTGCAATTCTCCCTTTAAAATATAATGTTGTCGCCCAATGATTAGGATTGGCGAAGTTCGGAATAATTACATGTTCCTTTGTAACATAGCACTAATAATTATCTTCTTTTTTCGTCCTGCATAAAAAGTCCGTGTAGCTTAAGCAAAATTAGTTAACGAGTAAAAAGATTTTCAAAAGCCACTGAAAAAGTTAGGTAAACTAAGAGCTTCAGCAATATTACGTTGCTTCTCGAGAGGACAGCACCCTAAGTGGTGCGGTCGAGCCAAAGTAGGCTCAACGACCATGTGCAAGAGTGCATTAGAAACAAGTTGATTTTCGCTTGGGACCTTATTCGTTTGTTCATAAACCATTAAAGTTGTCAAATGTTCTAGAGTTTGAACCATCGTCATAAACATTTAATGATGGAGGTTGTGTGCCCTATTTTCAAGTCATGGTCTATTATTGTGAAAAATAAGTAAAAGTCTTTCAATATGGATTAGAGTATGTATTTTTCATTAATTGAAATTCTTTTTTCGTTTATAAGCTCAACCGATAAATAAACTATGTAATTCACACACGGCAAAATGGAGACTAACTTGAGTTGATTATGTATATATCCTTTGAATTTTATAAAGTCGATTGCTCGCCATCCAAAAAAACCTCAAGTCAAGCCTAGCCACAAGCACACAATTAGGCTCCTCAACATGTTAAGCCTCAACATCGACGTAGCATGGATGTCAATTGTCAAATAAATTGAAATTTAGTACAGAGGTAAGTAATCTTTAAAAAAAAACCCCCCAATAAAAGTGAAAAACCTACAAATAAATTAAACTAAAATATTATTCCACAAAGGAGCCTCTTATCAGAAGGAAGTTGCAGGATCATTGTCCAAATTAGTTGTACCATGTTCACGTCCCATTCATATGCTTCCAATAAATAAGACAAATATGAACACCCAAATTTTACTTTAATTTTATACACATTTTTTTCTTGGTACATGTAGTTCCAAGTAATGTTAAATTTAGGCTGTTTGATAGTCCATTTTTTCCATAGAAAATGGAAATTGGAAATGGCTGTTTGATAGGTTTTATTTGTCGTGGAAAATTAATTCCACCCACCCCACACGTGCACCCCGGCAATGGATACAAATTTTATCACCAATTGTTAAAAAAAAAAAAAAAAACTCTTTAATGGACAATTTCCATGAAAAAAATAAAGTCAAACGAACACCAAAAGATCCAAAATTTAAATATTGTTCTCGTGAAAAATTATACAAGTCAAACACAATTAATTGAAAATTCACAGGAAAACGATTTTAGGCAATTCAATTCTCTGAAATTCATTTTCTTTCCACCCAAATTCCACTCTTACAATCAAACAGACCCTTAGTGGTTTTACTCACAGCTTATTTGTTTACTTATAAGTAAATAAGGAAGATTTCATCATAATAAGTTATTTAAACTTATTTGGAGATGAATTCTTACTTAAAAACAAGTATACTTTTTTCCTGAAGTTTGGAATTATGCTAAGCTGCAATGAGCAATACAAGGAAAGATTCTTGGCGTATTATTTGTGCACTTGAGTTTGTGAAGACGAAGTATAATCTTGCTGAAGCAAAGCATTTTATTTTATACTTTTCTTTACCGTCTAATTTAAAAATGCTATTAGGGATCAAAATAATTTTAAATAAACACAAAAATGTGTAATTTATTATTATGAGAGCCATACTTGTATTTTGAGAAAAATGAGTTAATTTTGATAATTTAATTGATCTATACATAGTTAATATTCATCGAGAAATGTAAACTATGTCAAATTTTAATACTTCAAAATAATTACCACGAAAATGAAACAAAATATTTTAAAGGGTATCTTCAATTGAAATTTTCAATGAAATCTACTAAAATTTAGGTATTCTTAATAACTAATAGATTCATAAGAATTTCATTAATAAAGATATTTTTAAAAAATTAGATGGATTTCAAACTAAAAAATACATATAACAAAATCTATTGAAATTTCAGAGTTTTAATGGAATTCGTAGAAATATATTATAATTCACGAAATTATAATCTTTTCAAATCCGTCAAAATTTTAGTTGAGAATACCGTAACAAATAAATCAAGTTCGGCTAAGATATGATAATCCAATTATTTTAAATATAATTGAATAAAATATATACTTGTGATCAACTTTACATAATTATTTTGTAAAACCATTGGCTTGGATTTATGGACAATCCTATTAATGAGTGGCGACATGGTAAGTGACAGATGTCCATCAATAATTGTTTGTCTAACTCATTGCAATGCAAGCGCATTCACGTGCTAAGAAAGTACAATTACCTTAACTTATTCTCGTTTTAGGACGATGATTAGCAGGTAATCATGTCCCATGCATTAGCTGTTCCATTACTCTATACCATGTCTCACTCATGCATTAATTACAAATCAAATTATTGCATTATTAATAATCGAAATCTATACTTCCTTAACTTTCTTCAGAATGCAATCTATTAATAGTTTTAGGGCTCGTTTGGAAGGGTTTTTACATTTTATAGAAGAAATTACTGAATAAGTCACCTTAGCACAACTTCCTCTAAAAATTCTTTTAATCAGATGAAATACTTTTAAAAAAATATTTAAACATGTTCAAAAGCAATTTCTTAGTTTCAAAAGCATTTTTTTTTCCAAAAGCCTCAAATGGACCTGTAAGATTTTGGGGCTCCGATAACCAATTTTCGAGTTCAGAAAAACAACCAAACGATCACCAATCAATAGACTCGACCCAACAATCATCTACACCTTGGTTGCCTCAGTTTTATCCCCCACAAAGGAGACACTTAGTGTTGGGATATGCAACCCACATAGGAAGGAAGGAGAGGAGAAGAACAATAATTGAATCTCACCAAGAAACTCACCTCAAACCCGACTGCCTCTCCTCTCCACGCTATTGCACACACTTCATCCCACACACACTAAAAAGGGCAGTAAACTTGATTATATGTAGCACTAATTAGGTCACTTAAATTGGGCCAAAACATATCACTAAATGGGCCAAGTTAATGGGCTAACAATAACCAAATCAATGCATTTACCAAACTACCAACCCAACATAAACTTAGGTCTCCAAAGGTGTATTAATTGTTTCCGAGTCGAGTCGTCACTTTGGTGTCGATAAAATATCCAACATTGGTTTATCGTTATCATCCGGATTTATTGGGTATCAAAACTAAGGGTGGTCTTGGGTCGGGTCGGGTCGGTTTTTCCCCAACCCAACATTGTCGGTTTATTCGAAATCCAACCCAACACAACTCATCTAAATGTTGAAACCCAACCAAACCCAATTATGTGTCGGTCACGTCGGGTTGGATTGGTCGGTTTGAGATAAACATATTGCATAAAAATAAAAATCATCCAATTTTTTGATGTAAAATAACATTAATATAGCCATCCGTGTCAATAAACTTGAAAAATAAAATAGTACAATCCATCAAAGAGAGAGGCAGCACAATGA